CGTTCCACCTTCGAGTAACGAAAAATAACAAATAATATCTTTGAAATAGATCCGTGCTGTATTAATATCGATTTGTTGTTGTGCTGTTGGATGAAGAAGAAGATGATGATGATGATGATGATGATGAACGTCACGTATTATATCATTGCCAGATATTTTATTTAATAATTGTGAAAGAGACGTACGAAATACCCATGGATCATCTGTATTACTCACTGTTGTTACAGCTACGTATGAATAATATAGGATAGAAAAGTGAATTTAAAAAGTCAGCTTACCATTATTATGCATTGAATGAATCGAATGTAAGGAAGGATTTGATTTTCTTGATGATTGCCGAGAATTTCCTGGCGAATCATGATGTTGATCGTGTGAATTACCGCGACGTATAAGACTTTCATTTCCACTATGACATATGCCTGTATAGAGTTAATCTTAAGTTTTATTTTTTTTTCGAAAATTCAACAAACCCGCTCGAGTTTTTGATTCAGCAATAACATCATCGGTGAATCGTTTTTGTCGAAAAAATTTTTCAGGTAGGAACGAAAAACTTGACGTCAATGGTTGCGGTGCAACTGGAGTTGCTGTTGTGCTTGTTGGTAGTGTTGCTGTTGCAAGCGGAAGAACGCCGATCGCCGATGTGGCATCGGCTGGTATACCTAATGCAGGCTTTTTTATAAACGATAAAAATAAATGTCGACATAGATCTTCTGGTATATCAGAATTATCGACAAGTACATCAAGAAATTGTCGAAAGCCTTTATAATCAAGTTGCTAACAAAAAAGAAAGAAAGAAAGAAAGAAAGAAAGAAAGAAAGAATTATTTTAATATACATAATAAATGAAATTACCTCATCATATTTATGAGCTAACCAAGTTGGATCTTTTTCAAGTATAGCAACAACATCTTTAACTTTCTTGGGAGCATCTAAACAACGAAACAAAAAAAATATTATTATAAGAAAGTTGAAATATTAATTAGCTTACATGATATATAATCTTGTAGACGTTGAAATTCGTCTGGTGACAGCTTATTCCAATCAAATCGATTCATGGATGACAATCATCGGCGGGCAAATTTGTTTCATAGCTCGCTCGATTTGAAAGTAGTTTAGAGATTGAAAAATATAATTCGTTGTAAAAAAAAGTATTTATATCTAATTCAGGTCATCTAAAAACAGCAGCAAAACTTCGCACTTTTGCTTAATATTTACAGCTAATTATGGTATAAAAATAGTTTCTTTTTATGAGATCGCCTTTCAATTTACTGCATCTGGTGCCCTGCTCATCGACTCATTTGTCTCTTCCTCTCTCTGTTATATTGTTGCTATTACTAACTGGTGTCATCAAATACTAATTTGACGCCCTACATCATTCTGTATGACAAGACTCCCGTTGAGAGTCACAGAGCGCACCAAGATCAGACGGAAGGAAGAAAAAAGAGAAAAAAATGAAGAAGAAAAATAGAGTGAAAAAAAAGAAAGAGAGTTTATCCCAAAGTAGTAACTTTGACACTTGTCTGTTCTGTCCTTCGTTTGACCAAAACTAAATTGAAGAGGCGAACATTAGCTATTTGTTTGTTTTTTTTGCTAAACTTCATATGGGAGTCATCAGATTACTTTATTTTGACGTCATCAAATCTTATCAATATCTCTTAGTGTATCGTCATCGAATAATAAGTTGTCGTCTAATGGGGAGCCACAATTTATTAATGTTGATAATCGAATCGAGAAAAGTAAAAGGAATATGAATCACCAAAAGTTATTTTTTATAATAAACAGTTCCAAATGTAACGTCTAATGATTACCAGCAATGAAATATATGTCAATAGATAGTCAAATATTTAAATCGATAAGAAGATATGATAACAAAAATCTTTCTTCTTTTGTGCTTCGTCTTCATTTTATTTCTCTCTCTCTCTCTCTCTCTCTCTCTCCCTATGTATATATATACAAGATGCATGTTTGTATATGTGTGTGTTTCTCTTCACACACACACTTCCTCATCAGTTATTTATCGTTTGAAAGGCAACAGTTTAATTAGGGAACACCCGTCCTGTAACAGAATAAAAATCGCGAAGCAAAACCTTCTATTTGCAAAAGAACTATCCTCGAATATTGATTTAGTCGTTCAATGAGACATTCACCGTATGCAGATATGTTTTCATACAGTCAGCTTGCTGCTAATAATTCATTTAAATAACTCCTCATTATAATTTTTTTCTTTTTCTTTTTCTTTTTCTTTTTCTTTTTTTTTTTGAATCTCATTTGCATCTGTTAGTTCTGCTTCTTGCATTATTATGATTATTACCATCACTGATTCTTTTTGCGCGCCATGCTACTACTATCACATCGATATTCTATTAGTGTTCCATTGGCAGTGACACACATGTGCAGACACAGACAGAAAACAAAACAGAATATTCATTCATTTAGTTTCGAACAAACTAAAGAGTTGCAAGATAGATTTTTTAATTTCCGTTAATGTTGAGCTGTTTATTAGCTTCAATCATACTGTTGTCTGCACCTGTTTTTGTTCTTTCTCTGTTGATCTACGTGTATATATATATATATATATGCATGTAGCGCAATCATTTAAGAAGAGAATACCAAAAAGCAAAACAAAAAAAATAGAAGATAATCAGAAAAAGTAAACAATAATTAACTACCTGAGAATATAAAATAAAGTAGTGACGTTGACTTTGATCTATAGACTAATAAATTTTGTGTATATTGTCGTCCTATTTATTTCATTCATGCGTGCCAATGTGTATAAAGAGAGGAGTGACACAACTCGAGTTCGATAATCACGATAATAATGAGAGAAGCTGCTTGGGACTGAAGAAGAACAGCTCGGTTAGAAGTTGGTTGGATCAAGAGGAGAATGCACCGTATTCTGCTGCTGCTGCTGCTGCTGCTTCTCTTGCCTTCGTTCCTTTTACTCGGCGCGTTTTTTTTTCTTGTATTCTACTCTCCTTCTAACACACACACATATATAAAAAGAACTTCGACTTTCTCTGTCGCCGTCGTTGATGTTGTTACTGTGAGTTTTTCCATCATTTATTTACCGCTATGAAGAGAAATAGAAACGAAAGAGAGACAGATAGACAGACACAGCGAAGAGTTTCTCTTCTCTCTCTCTCTCTCTCTTCCTCTTTTTCTGCTATGATGTGTTGGTCGTGTGATTCTGATGACGACTGCAATGCGAGTCGGAGTGATGATGTTTAATAGTTGTAGTAGTAGTACTTCTCCACATGGATAAATATCAAGAAATTCTCCTTTTGGCGAAAATATTCTCATTGACCTTGAACTATTGTCTTATATTAAAGGATTCTAACGAACAGAATTTATGTTTTTCTTTTTTTTTGCTCTTTGATTATTCTGACAATAAATTGGCTATTAAGAACATAAGTTTGTAATAAAAGAATCTGTTGCCTGCGTACCTCAAAGACATAAATCATTAGAATCAAAATACAGATAGAGCAGAAAGAAAAAAACAAAAACTTGTCGAATATTTTGTTTTTACAAATCTAATTCATTGTCAGGCAAAGCACGAATGAATTATCAATATCAATGAGTATTTAAACTATAAAGACAGTAATGTAAACGTTAATTTATATTTAACTATAGAATGAACATGCTTGAGTAGATTCAAACAGTTCAGGAAATGGTTCTTTTCTTGCTTAGACAGTGTCACATACATGTGATGAAGTTTCAGTATCGTTTATGAATGTTAATTTTTCACTATTTATCTTGAAGAAAAGCGTTTAGATGTCATAAACGTTTTTTTGGGGACTAAAAAAGTTGTTCAAACGACAAAATGTCGTTTCCTGAACTGTCTACAAAGAGGATGAAAGGAAATCAAAGAAAAATGAGAAAATATAAAGGAGAAAACAATATGAAATAATCTCAACTTAATTTCTAAATATAATGTTAAATGCAATAAAAATAAGCTGATTATGTCTTTTATTTATTTATTTTTATTGTTCCTAGTTTTCAACAGATGTTTTCTTGGCACTTGATGAGATAGAATTACTTGCCCTGTCCGATCGAAGATAGTAATTTGCCTGTTTTATAGTTGACAGACAAATCATACAAAAAGAAGGAAATCATCAATCATTATTAATTTACTTGAGATCTTGAGCGCTTCATGCTCGTGTATGCATATATATATACACTTATTCATTGTGATTATTTCTCCTATACAAATTGACTAGCAACAATGATTATTTCATTCAATTAATTCAATTTATGTGCAACTATCGTCATCGTTCTCAGAAAACTGATTTCCGCCTTAAGCTATTCAAAAACAATAACAACGACAGCAACACAACAGTTCAAGTTTAATAGAGTAAAAGATGGAATAGATTAAAGGAGAGGATGATATTTGAGATAGTAGTCTATTATCTAATTTTCTGCTTCATTCACCATCGATTGAGTAGTATATATGTAAACACATCGTCGAATACGACTCTTTTCTTTCTCCTTCAACACTTTTGTTTGATAGAACAAGAAGGAGGAAGATCGATAAGATAGTCCTATTTTCAGTTTAGATAAATAATATTTCCCGGCAAAAGAAATAAATAGTTTTCACCAAATATACCAAAACCAAAATAGATATATTTTAAGACATTCTCATTAAATATAAATGGTTACATTCCATTAGCGTTCACCGGAACATATACACAAAATAGATTCTAGATTCACGATAATATTTATTCATATATGAAGCAACAAAAAGGAAATTTTTCTTTTTTTTTCCATACACTGAATAGGCACCAAAATAAAAAGAAAATAAAGACAACATATGAGACACATTGACATAGAAAGAAAGAAAAAATAGCAGATATCCATATGAATACGTGAGTGAAAGTCAACTGAAATTACTAAGATAGATATCGAATTACATATATAAACAATTAACACAATATGATCAATAATCGGCATGTAGTGTGTAAAAATAAAATAATTGATAATCTGACAAAAACAGAAATATTAGTTTTAATTCATCAAGTGAATTTTGTGACGACGAACAAATGCGCCATGTTGATTTGGACATTCGAAATAAAAATGTCCATTCAGTGAACCATTGTTTTTTCCTAAATATGAAAAAAAAAAATTTTGCTTTTAATTTGGAAAAAAAGATGTAATTTACCAACTGCTTCATCCAGTTCGATTCCATACCAAATGCCGGTACTTATACAAATTTCTCCCATAAAACGAATAGTGCCGGGCTTATTAAATATTGAATGGCCTGTATTGACAATGACACGCGAACCAACGATAAAATCTTCATCTTCATGATCGTTGTCTATTTGTCTCGATGATACGTTACTCGATTGACTTGATAATAAAGTCGATATTTGTTCAACGATATTTGCAGTTTCTTGTTGCCTGTTATCATCTAAATCAATCGTATTTTTTATTTGAAGACGCGATGTTTGTGTAGATTGTAATTGTTCTTCTTCAATAAATAATGAACGTGATATCATACTCGGTGTTGAACTATTCAATTCGGATTGGCTTAGCGATAGCATGGTTTCACTTGGAATATTTAATAGGTGATTTCGTCGAGAATTTCCAGGTGAACTAAGCGCATTCTATGAATACGCATGAGGAAAAACAAATCAATTGTCATTTATCAAGTAAAGAAAATCTATTTAAATACAATAGGGATTTTTCTAAGAGCTTTTGCTTTTGTATTAGAATTATATGTTCATATTAAAATATATGTAAATTATATAGAAACTAACGAATAACTTAATGCATTGATTCACTGGAGAATTTCTCGTACTGTCAAAATTTCTATTTAAGTGACACTATGCTTAATGACCAGTTCATCCAGTAGAGATTGTTACTATAGATTTAACTTGGGAATAAAAGCAAGACTAGCATTAGTATTAATGATAAGAATGAAAGCTGGCTGGCCCAATATTGATCTTACTGAATATCGTTTTTGACGTGCTATATTTGGTACGCTGGTTGACTTTCGAACTATTTTTTCTTTTTCAGAATTTGCTTCTAATAAAACTTCCTAAAAAAAAAACATTTTTTTTGTTTCAAAATTAAATTAAATTTACTTGTCGTAATTTGTCAAGTAATAAATTTGAATCAATATTTGAACCATATTGAATATATTTTTCAATGTATTCATTTGAAAGACATCGGAAATCAATTTGTTTTCGATTTTCAATATCATGAAGATTCTTCGGTATTTGCGATACGATCTCATAGACAACGCTTGTTCCTCTGTGTACTTTCTATGGAGAAAACAAAATGTGCTTAAATATTCTATGAATGCAAGCGACTAGATATATACAGTGCCGAGTAAAGTTTTTAGTGCTTTTTCGGGCCACCATTCTTCCGGCTTGTGAATATTTATAGCGATGCGTTTACGTAGAACAAGTTCCATATGTGCTGGCTGAGACACTATCACAGTAATTTTAACAATTAGATAAATAAGTGTATCATGTGCTGTGACTTGGTTCCTAAACCATTCAATAATATTTAAGACAAAATGAAAAGAGAAATGCAAACAAAAGAAATTTACATCGTCGCTAATTCATGAATTGTTGGATCCCATTGAGCAATAGCACAAATCTACAGAGGATTAAACTCTATTAGAATTAGAATTTCTTATTTGTATAAACCTGATCCGATGCATTTTGAATTAACGGCAATGCAAACATAGGAGTTTTATTTTCTTCGATTAATGCGGCTTGAAGACCAACTATACTATTCAATTTACTTTTATCAAGCGGATCTATGTCGAGAAATATAATTGGACGATGCATTTCAATCGTTGTTGGTGGAATCCAACATGCTGGAGAACCTAAATGAATATCATTTTTTTGTTTTCATTTGTATAATAATTTCAAGATTTTCATGAAGATATAGAATTATAAGTTTTGCACAATCGGCCATGTGAAAATAATTTGTTTTTCTTCACATACAATGTCAGCAGTAAGAGTATTGAAAGGATTCTAAAAGTAGTATATAACATCTGCATTTCATAGGAAAAGAAAGGATTTACTCTATATAAATCTGACATGAGCGTCATTAACATCATAAAAGCTTTATCAGAATAAATTTTCTGTGAGATTCTCTGAAACGCGTGTTCTTCTATCGATTTAAATTGAGGTAATCAGCGTCTATTATGATTCTTAGGAAATACGTGTTGCCAGGCATTTAAAACAGTAATTTATTCCAAACCCCGTTTCTCTCAATCATAAACTTTTAATATAATTGTGTTAATTTCCATGCAATAAATTGGTTGAAGAAGTAATTTTCGTTGACAGTATAATGTCAATTCATATAAAACATTGAAAGTAGAATCAATGTTTTGGAATTTGTTATATTTTCTATTTATTTTTTGATGCTGACGTATTTTGACAATAGGACATCTATTATCTGATACTTTCCCTGCATATGAACAGTCTAGCTTTATGGAATAGTCAGAATTCATAACCAATTGATGGCACTCAAAATATTTTTGTTTTTTAAAGCTACAGACAATAAGAAAAAACATATTACGACTTGCCAAGCGTATGCATCATTGGGAAATTCTCAGTCATCTTTATTTTTTATAGAATTACGATCACTTGTCGACTAATTTAGACAGTCGGTTTCTTCGCTTTGAAAAATTCATATTGACATGATTCGATGTCACTATCTATTAACAAAAAAAGGCTTCTATTGTTTTTCTTCGATTTACGTATCCACAGCTTGTCGATTCTTTTTTTTTAATGGCCACCCTATGATGATTTGTCATGTATAGCAAGATGTTTTTCTTATATCGCAAGTAAATGATGGAAACATCTGTTTCGCATCTTACAGATTTTGTTTTTGTTGTTTTGCAAGGAAGGAATAAAGTGATGAGATAGAGAAATTGCCTACTCTTGTATTAGAAGTAAAAAATTATTTACCAGGTATTCCACTACTCGCTGGTGGAAACATTGCAATATGATGTTCTTCAGCTAAACGTACCAGTTCTTCCAATATAATACTTTCTCTGTGTGTGTCAATCGATGTTTTATCTAGATGATAAAATAAATTTTAAATTCAAAACAATATGGTTTTTTCCCTCTCTCGTTATTAACTTGTTTTCTGATGCAATGTATTGATTTGTGATTCAAGATAAATTTTACGTTTTTCAATGAAATTTAACCATTTGTCTCTTAAACATTGCAGGTGATCATCTTGATAAGAATCTAATTGAAGTGGCGCTTGCATTTTTCTTGTACTTATAGAACCAATTTCAACAGATCGAATTTCATGAAGTACCAAAGGCATTGGATCCGGTCGAGGTATTAATCGTAATTTTACGACAACGCGTTTCGATTGACCCTAATCAATAGAATTCAATAACAAAACTGAAATATTTAATCTTATTTCTAAATCTAAAACCTGTTTTAATCGATAAATTCCCCCGCTGCTGGCTTCTTCTTCTGGATTAACCGGAACTGGTTTCCAGACTCCCGTTGAATCTAGCTCGTGAATTTCCACAGAAAATTGAATGTGTCGTTTTACATCTTTCCATTGTTGAGTTATTTCGCGAACTAGATTCGTATTTTGATCAAGTTGAGCATTCTCTGTTAAATCAATTGATTGTGGCGTTGCATTGTGTTGATGCCAAACTTCGATTGAAACAACACTTTCGAAGCATGTAGACAGAAATTGATCAGTTATCGGAAATCTATATTCCTTTAAAATGAAAAAAATAAATAACGGCACGATAAGTCTTAATTTATGAATAGATTTTCTATAAGTTACATTTTCATGATTGAATGAGAACGTGCATGATTTTTGTTCGTCATCATTATCGGACGCTTTTTGAGAAATAACGGTCTGATCCAATTTTGGATTTATAAATGTATAATGACACATCACATATTCAGCGGTAGATTTTGGTAAATCTCGTGCTTCTTGAATAGAAAACTGATAATAAACGATAAGAGCGTTTTCTTTGAATCAATAATTTTAGAAATGAGCATAAACAACGTACTTTAACTATGAGTTCATTATTTTGACTATTCGACAATGTTGATGGATGTTCAATACCTTCGTCTTCAAGACATTGATCATTGCTACTATTATTGGTGAGATTAGCTTCATCAGAATCAGCACTGACTCCTTCAGGTTTACTACTGCAGGTTGTGGTATTGATTTGAAGTTGACTGAATTTTTCTATCGGTAACAAACCTGTTTGATCCATAACCACATGAAGTGAACCACACATCTATTAATAGTATTCATTCATCGAAGAAACTCAATGATTACAATTAGTAATTAAATACAAAACTTCATTTTTATTGCTTTTTCTCATCGAATCCATACGAATAAAGAAAGTAAATATTACAGTTGAGTGTTACAGCTGAGATTATAATAAAAATTTCATACAGATATCAAATTTTCAAACACAAAACACACTGTTTTTCATCTTTAAATAGTCACCACAGTGTATATGATTTTCATGATAGCATATGATTTGAATTCTTATTTTTCCCTTACATGAGAACTGAAAAGTATCTCAGTGCTATTTTTGACATAACTCGTCTATCTACAATCGACGAATAGACAATCATTCGTTCTGATGAGAGTATTCATGTTCGTACTCGATGTCGCTACTATCAATGTCTATTTTACCTCTCCTTTTGTATCGATGATTGGTACAATATAGTCAAGTTTGGAATTATAAAATAAAGATTTTAAATAGATATTTGCAACACCAATAAAACTATTGAATTGTTCATCAAAAAATGGATTATTTCGTTTTAATTCTTGTGTTAAAAATTCCGTCTAAATACGTACGAAAAAAATCCGTTTTCATTTTTGTTAGAAAAAACAAAGTTTTTTACTTTATTGTCAGATACGATCCATTTTAAATATAAACTTTTTATATGACTGAACTGACATTCAAATTTTTCTGCAGTCCATATTTGTGAAACAGAATTTTCACGTTTGACTTGCACTGCTGGTAAACATAAATTATTAATGGACTTGAAAGTAATGAAACAACTAAAAAAAATTAGTATTTTTAATTTTCTAAAAAAAGAAACCTACACGTTCACTTGGTTTCAAATATGAAACAGGTATCTGTAATATAACGCTGTAGACTATTTGTCGATGCATTTCTTCCGATATCGTATTAGCGTCAGTTACAAGTGAATTAATTCGAATAAATTCTTCTTTAAGATGATCCATGAAAGTGTGCCGTTCTTCACTTTCATTTAAAATTTTATTTGATAAATACCATTTTGAAAATGATAGATCGACATTAGCCTTATCCGAGTTAAGAGTTGACGCATTGCTGTTTATATGTATTAATTGTTTGAAATGATCAATGTCTTTTTCATCACTATCAGATATACCTGTAAGAATCTACGTATAAATATATAATGAATATTTATTTTCGTAATTACTCTGCTGACAAATTGATTCTTTTATTGTTGGCAATTGATTCGATGATGAAGTCATGACTTTCTATGAATAATTAAATACTAACAAACGATCTCATATTTAATTGATTTAAAAAAATGTCATTTTACTAACAGGCTGATTCAGCAGTTGAATTCAAATAGATTTTAACAATCAGAACTCTGTTGCTTGCATCATATTTCAAACAAGACAAAATGCGTTTGATTACTCATTTTTTTATAATGTGAATGAAGAATGTTGGTTATGAAACTGACCAATAATAGCTTTTTTTCATTCGATGCACCTTCTTTCCTTTCACGTCTACCTGCTATAAATGACGATAGTTAAGAATGGTTTAATACGCAAGCAAAAGCTTCGACATAGTTGAAAAGAATATATTCAGCTAATTTATTGCAAGTTTACTGACTGAGTACTTCAGTCATATGAAAAATAGTCAATGATTCCTTTATTTAAAATATAGTAATCACTATCAAGCATGGAAACTTGTTTCTACTGATGAAGTTGTTTTAAATGAAAAATACAAGTAGAAACATTACCTGAACATCATTTTTTTTGTTCTGAAGTACGTTTACAATGTGTGAACTAGTCGTATCCTACGCGGGTTCAACTTTTGGAACTCGTACCTGTTCCAATATTTGGAACTGTACTAGAACCCGAACCAAACCTATCCGAACGTGAAATGCTATTTGTCATTGATACTGTACTAATTATTTTCTTCTACTATGGTCGTCCAATAGAAACTGAAAGTCTTTTATAAAAATACAGAATATATATATATATATTGACATCAAGAAAATCTCATTAATTCTAAACAGATTTCAGAATATAGAGACTACCATGTCGATCGAATGACCATAGGTGGCGGAGCCATTAGGCTTGGGGAGGCTCAGATATTTGAAAAGAATACAGATTTCGTCGCGATTTACTTAACTTACAATATATTAAGAAATTTGTTTCATGAATATTGTAAATTATTGCATTTATAGTTAGCAAATCTCATTTCAACCGCTACGGCTCAGAGATGCTTCAGTGTTATAAATGGAATAAAGACATTTACGATCAATAATGACACAACAACGCTTTAATCATGTCTTTATTTCTCATATTCATTAATGGAAACTAGATCAGTTAGACATGAAGAGCATTTGTTCTGAGTGTATTGCAAAAAACTAGAGAAAAGACGTTACTGGGTATGAACAATAGTTTTTGTACCTATGATATGTTTGCTTTAGTCAAAGTTTAAGATTTTTTATGCTGATGTTGATAAGGAAAGNGTCATAATATCCACAACTTGGGTATCGAGATGAATACCCAAATAGGATACCCAGTTGGATGTATATCTATGTATCCTCAGAGCTGAGGAATTTGAGTGCATTTGGTGTAACGAGATGGGTATCGGAAATGGATACCCTATTGTAGGAATACGCGTCTTTATAATTATAAATAAGGAAACGTAATGCTATGTTTAAATTTATTGTATTCATGTAGTCAGCTTCATGCCAATGTTTATCGATATGTACAGAATTGTTTATTGGGTATTGTAGATAGCGTGCAATTGCAGGTAAATGTTCGTTGAACAACTTGATGTTCACCTGATAACAATTTATTACGACTTTCATCACCATGACTCAAGGAAGTCGTGTTGAAACTGTAGCATGCTGTGAAGTTGGTGTTGTTGTGGATTGTCACATGTATGTTATGTGAATTGTGGCTCATATTAATTTGTTTGCAATAGAACTTGCCAGTAGGAAAATTCGTGGATACCCATCTCGTTACACCAAATGCACTCAAATTCCTCTGCTATGAGGAACATGGGTATTCATTTTAGTATCCATTTTGGATATCCACTTGACTGGATATCGTGACTGGTACGTCGACGATACCCAGTGTTAGGATATTATGATATCTCTGGTTAAGACTAGCCATCTCAAATTATGATTTGTCTTCTGATATTAATTTACACATTTCTTTTATATTTCTATAAATTCTTTCTTATTGTTGCAAAAAATTTTATATTCACTCGTTAATCTTATACGATAAAAATTGTCTTTCACCTTTACCATATCTACATTAGAAATTCATATTTCTTAAAATTAAGCGTCAATTAATATAATTGGAGACCAATTTAGAGTGGGGACAAGTTCAGAAAAAAAAGAAGTCGGGGGACGAATTCGAAATGAATTAACGGGGGACAAGTTAATGCGGAACGTTATGCCATTTTGAGTAAGAGATTTAAATAATTTCTCTAATTAATTTTTTCTATTTAGTAATTAATATGTATCTCATTCATCTTTTCCTGCAATTAATTTAACGTTTTGGAAAGAATATCAAAAATCCTCACTCTCGATTGATTGTGCTTTTGAAATGAACGACTTTTAAAAATCTTTGTTATTGAGGTGTACTTTTATAATACTAACAAAGACGAAAAAAAACGTTTTTAAAACTTGATGTGAAAGTTAAATAATAATGGATCAGCTGTTATCTTAATAATATGAAATTTAATAACATTATAATGACCACCTTGTGGATTATTCATTGTAGTTGTTGGACAGTATTGATCATCATCTGGTTTGTCTAAACAGTACTTTTGACAAAATGCATTTAGTACTGAAAAACTGTTTCATAAACCCTTTTGAGGGTTTATACTTTTGTCAGAAACTCTAAAACCGTTTTTTTTTGCCTGAAGCGTTTATGAAACTAATGGTATAACAATAATAGATCATGCAATATCTCTACATCTCCCTCCGTTTCTCTTTTTTATGGTCTTGAAATGTATACGTATACACCCCTTCGCTTTCGCTTTCTCTTTTCTTCTAGTTCCCCTTTTACTTCACCATATATATTTTTTCTTTTCGTTTCGTTCTTCTATTCTTCCTTTTCTCCTGATTACTTCTTGATTCTTTTTCTGTTTTGTATTTACTCTCATAACCCCGATACCAGCTATGTTAGTACTCGATAGTACGATATTGGTGGCGGCGGTAAAACTCACTGCTTTTGTGTTGTTGCTTAATGCTTTAATACCTTAATTTCTCCTTATATTATCATGTAAGCACTTCCGAGTGTCACATTAGAGAGAAAAATAACAGTCGTTCGTTTTGAAAAAAGAAAAACTTCCTTGATATTTTTGAAAAAAACTAGGCATTTTCCAGTTAATTTATCATATTTTCTAAATAACTTTTGTATATAATAAATAAGCATTATACGATTTCAACATTCGAAGAGAAATTATGTTGACATTCATCTACGTAAGAATCAGGAGGATAGCTGACGATCAATAATGATTAGTTGTTAATAAACATTCAAAAATGTATGTATTTTAATAGTTACCACGAATTACTTTGCAAATTGGAACGGATAATTGCATAAAGCTAGACTGGTAGCCTAACCTCTGTCATATTGAAAATTCCAGCATATTATACTAATAGGTTCTGCAGATTTTCTCCAAATCCTAAAAACTTAACTAATGCGTTCAACCATGTAGCAATAGTGGGACCATAGACTCTGACCAAGCAGAGCTCACTGATAAGGTTTATCTTCGTTGCGAAAATGATCCTTATAGTAACAAATTAGATCAAATATTTTTCGGAACTTTGATATTCAATTAACATATTGAAAGTTACGTGATTACATACTGCTTGAGACATTACTATTGTAGCGCTACCTCTCGAGTATATCTTATATTTTAAATGTTATTTGCGAGAGCTGTCAGTATAGTAATCATATCTTTTTTATTTCTATTTGTCGAAATATATATATATATATATATATTCTCCATCAACTAACACTCACACTCTCTTGCGAATACGAAGCAGTTAAGAAATGTGCTTTTATCGGATTTACATACTCCCTGTTACTTCAAATGCATGACTATTAACTTACGTAATCTTTTCACTTGGATGTTCGTTCGGTGAAATGAAGTGGGAGAACAGATAGATAGATAGAACTCGGAATATTTGGATTATTCTCGAAAAGAAAGATCAAAGAGAAGAAATGTCGTTGACAATGCGTCCCATTTAATGTTTCTGTCAAATAATACGGAATGCAGTAAACATTTCTCCAGTATTTGCATGATTTTTGTTGTTTTCGATTTAATAGAAATCTCGGTCTACCAAATTGAAACTTTCTAAATAGCTTCATGATCTGTGTAGTATTTTTCATTGCAAATCTTGAGCACGTTCTACTTATGCAATACCGTTTCTTGAAAGCGTTCTATTTGGCTCTGCTTCTTTTCTTTTGTTTTCGCTTTTTTGTTCTTCGGCGTAACGTCGTTAAGATCTATTTACCGATTGGCTCAATTTTAAAACCATGTGATCTTTGATCAAAATGTTCATCAATATCAGGTCATGTTAATTTTAGATTTTCTTTTATTCTTTTAAAAAATCAAGACAATATAAATGCCTTCATCAACAAATGATGTTAGATCCTACTCTCAATCTAAATTGAGCATGTTAGAATTTGGAAGTTATATGATTATTGTTGGTGGAATTGGTTTCAGTTTTTTTCCTTATTCAGTATCATCCCTTGTTGGATTAAAAACTACCGATGATACTTATATTCGCTTGTTTGGTTTACTTGCTGGTATCTTGGGAATCAACTATTTTGTCATGGTTGAAACAAGCTGCCATTATTTTCTTCAAACTCTCTATTGCTATGCGATATTTAGCAACATTATTTATGTCATATTTAGTGATTACTGGGATATCACATCGGAATTTGCTACTGTTCGCGCTTGGAGACGTATCAGCGGCGACCTGGACACTTGTCGCACTTTGGTATGATAGTCATTCAGATGATAGCAAGCTCAAATCGACGAATAAAACATATTAAACACATTATTTGATTCATATTAACGGGTGAGGCAGAATAAATGAACCTCTTGACAGTTCTTAAATAAACTTTTTATTTTTCGATCCTTCAACTTGAACTTTTTTCAAATGATCCGCCATTCAATTCTCTACAAAGCCTGTATCACAAGATGTTCTGCTGAAAGTTAAGCGAAAAATTAAAAGAATAAACTTTCGGGGTGGATGTGGGTTTAAGAGTGATTATGTGAGGACGAAGAAAATATTTACGCCCATACCCACACTCACCCGCAAACGTATAGAAGAATATTGCCCTTATACAAAAATACTTGAATTATTATTTGAACAAAATCGATAAGACGAAGATTAATATATTTCCAATTAATATCAAGGATCATCTCAGTTAGACGAAAAACATTATTTTCATCTTTATTCTTTTTTTATGGATTGATCTTTTTAAAAGCATAAATAAACCAAGATCACAGATGATGATAATTGGTTCAAAAGAAAAAGTTTCGTTATTAATTTCAATCGGTATAAACAACAAATTTTATATAAAATAAAAACTCATTGAAAATCGAATTTATCAATATTAATCTTTAACATTTTAAACATTTTTTATTGATTATTTTATGAAATTGTACTTCGGACATTTTTTTAGAGTTTCTATTTTGTATAATGAACATAAAAGCAAATGTTTATCTAATTTATTTATCAATTTTAAAAGTAAAGTATATGTATTGCAAAATAGAAAAGAAATTATATACGTATATGTCAGTGTCCAAATTGATATTACGTCTAATCTCATATTGGCTTAGATGAATATGGAACCTGAGATTGGACGTCTCCATACTTGAATCCAACATCGAATGGACATTTGTTCAGATTATTTTTGGATAAAATATAGAACAGACGTCCATTCTAAGATTGCATTGAAATAATCAAGCGAGTTCAAGATTGGACTTGTCTATTGTTGGACTGAAAGAGAAATGCGGTGAATCTCAAACTGGATTAAGCCAATGTTAGAATGAATTGCGAACTTCGGAAATTCATTATAATATAGAGAAGATACTTCGCTTCATAAAACCCAACGAGTACAAGGTGGATTGGAAGAATCGTAGAAAAACTAAGCTAAGGTCGCTGTAGTAGCCAGTAATATAAGATCAGGAGTTCACATTCTGATTCAATGTGTTGTTTTGTGTGAGAATAACCCAACCAGTCTCTCATTATTCATATCTTGATGTTTTCTCTTCCACTTCGACTTCGATACGTATTTTATTTTCATTCTTCACTCGACAGTGTGCTTTTGTGTCAAACTTATATATTTAGTCTTTTCGTTTCCTAATTCATAACCGCACTCAAGTAGCCTATTTATCAAATCACAATGAAACGATCAAAAATGATTAAATTGACATCACGATCGACAAGGCTAATCAAAAGCATACGAATCAAAAGACCATACCATAGATTATTCTTGAAAAACCTCGTGACAAAAAAAGGCACATGGTATGTTCGGTGCCATCAATCAGGGTGTGGGTTGGTCCTGATTGTCAACGGTGTCTCATAACACCCATAATCAAAATCGCACCCATTCACACCCACACACTCAAGGTATTTTCCGGCAGCCGGTTACGGTCCGATCCTTTTTGTTTTCCAGTTCCCGGATACTGAAGGAAAAAAGTCAGTTTTTGGTACGATGGCTTTGCCACCAGAGTTCGCCCTAAAATGCTAGGAATTTGACACAGAAACTCCGTGGCCATATTCGTCTGCTGGAAATGTCCATAATAGACTCGGAAACGGAGATAGGACCCGTTTTCGAATACTGCATCAACTCATTTGAATTTTTCGCTACTAGTTCATTCTTAAGAAAGCAATGTCAAGTCTGATTGAGACTACCTCTGAGGTGGAAATTTTATAATCATAAAAGACAGTATATGATCGATAATAAATCGCATATCACTGTCGTAAATTCCAGTATTCGGTGAAATACGGCAAAAAATAGCAATCATAAACGGCTATCATGTACGATAGTCTTATATGATCGTATTTCACCAAATACTGTGATTTACGACCGTATAAGATAAAAACGCAGTCCTAATTTAGATTTAAACTCATACGACGTAAACAGTTATATAAATGAAAGATACAGTCGCTGACATTCGGATACCGTTGTATAGCATCCTTGTAACGCTTGTCTGCAGTAGTCTAAACTCTTCAAACGTCTCTTTTACTTCCACTTTATTTTCAGACAACTTTTTAGACTGATTCAATTGGAACTTGAAAAGTGTGCAATGCTGTGTACAATATTTTCAAGTAATTGTTTCATTCTTATGAGATTTGATTGAGAATTAGATTCATTGATAATATAAATCAAATAGTAAAATATTATTCATTTTGTTGTCATTTTCGGTAAGAAGAGTTTCTCAGAACGAACAGTGACGACAAGGAATAATTTAGTATTTGATCCTAAGAGAATTCGTGATTTTCATTGATTCATATAATAAAGAGGCATCGAGTACTTTATGGAATTCAAAGGCTATTCTTTTCACATTCAAATTATAAGAATATGTTGAAGCATAAAACAATAGAATTTCAAAGCAGCTGCTTACGCCTTAACAATAATTGCGTATCGATTTCCTTTAAAATTTCTAGATTGTAAACAAAATCAGCAATAATTTTATTTAATGAATACTTTTATTATCTTTACCTCAGATATTATATTTATTTTAAGCATAAATTCTGATAACTTGGATTAAAATTTTTGAAATTTCGCTAGCGAAAAATTTGTTTTGAAAAAGATGAAAAAATGCTGCATTCATTTTATTCAGTCTTATTCAAATAATTGTGAACTTTATGGTACATATGTTTTATTCATATCGCAACCTGAAAACTTTTAGCAAAACTGTTAAATAGTATCTTAGAGTGTTTATTCGCATATAGGAGTTGATCACTTGATCTTATATGGTTTAGCAGATAAAACGATGTGTAAGCTATAAATAGTATGCATGTTCGAATCTAATCTTCTGTCTGATATTTCAGTTATTTAGGCTAGCCTGGATTAGACTGTTACAATGTACAATCTGTTACCTGCAGTGTCGTGGATTTTCTTCATTTATACAATTACAATTGTATTTGGGATTGATGTCCGTATGGTACAGCATGTCTGGTCTTTTTTCCAGAAAAGACGAAACATAACACACATAATAATGACAGTCACTTATATAATCAACATTGAGACTAAAGATGCCAAACGATTTCAAACTAGACACGACATATAGTCATGACTAAAGAACGACTAGTCTTTAAACCGGTTCTTTTCTCGCATGGGAAGTTAATACTTGATATTCAATGCTAGGTTAAAGTGTTTACTGAGTTTTACATTAGATTAAATGCTCCACCCCTACTAATAATTATAATAAATTAAAAAAGTTTGCTAGCACAGCCTCTTTTGGGGCTAAAATGTGGAACTCACATATATCCCTTCGGCTTACTAAAATAATTCAAAATAGTTCATCTGAAAACTCTACTCTGATTTCCAAAACCTATAATTAGGTCATTGTCTATTTGCTTATGTCTGTAATCGAGTATTAATTGTTAGCTCGTATATTTAACAATGACAGATACTAGTTACTATGGTTTGTAATGGGTAAGTATTGCTTTTTTTCGTGTAGTCTGTAATTAAAAAAAAAATAGCAGTCTAATTAGTCAAGTTCCTAATTAGCGCAATTTTAAACTAATTAATGTCTGTAATGGGGGGAGCCGCAAAAATCTCGCTTTTAAACTTACACTCACCATTTATGCGTAAAAATGGATTCCAAGCTTCTATTTAATTAAAGAAAATCATAATTGCTTGATTTTCTTCAATTAAATACGCCTCAGATCGATTAAAATCATGTATCTATTGATTTTCCTGTGTATTTTGTTTTACATGAGTATCGGGAGATTTTAAAATCCAATTCCACGCCGTAACGAGATATCATCCATCGTTTTCTGGCTTATTCTGGATATTTTTTACTGTTCTTGTTTGAGGTCCCATTACCACATTCATTGAAATCTGGTCATATTTGCAACGTCGGAAAACATCAGATCTGATGATGGTGTCAGTCCACACTCGATATCATCCCATACTATCTAGCGTCAGGGCTTCACAGTAATTTACTGCAGTTAATGGTGCTCATTTTCATGCTACAGCAAGTTTGATTGGTATCATCAGAACATATTGAATCCGATCAGAATAGAACCGTTTTCCACACAGGATTTCGCCGCTGCTCACAGTAGAAATGCGCCAGAGCCACTTATGTCGTCGATTGTTCAGCAAAACAGCAACATATTTCAGCAGATTACTTAGGATAATACATTAAATTTTGAAAACTCTTTATTTTTTAAGGAAGCGTTTGAGAAAAATTAATCCGAAAGGTCTTCGGTTCGAAAGTAAAATATTTTCAGTGTGTCATACTTTTTTCAATTGCACTTTTGATAATTAGAAACGCGATAATAATCACGAAGTCTGTTAAAACAACCATAAAAGTTGCGATTATTCACACTTGTCCATACTCAAATGAATAAGGCAACAACCATGTGCGCCTCCAAGACGGTCAATTACAGGAGAAAATGACAATAATTCAACTGCTTCTTTGCAGCAATCATAAGTCGAGTTGTACAGCTGCATTAAGGTCAGCGTAAACAATCACCTAACACGGTTGGCAATCAATATCATGGTTGTGAGTCACCTTTCGACAATACTATAAGATACCCAAATATTCTCACACTACACATCCATACACTCAGCAGTGTAGTTAGAAGGATATAAATAAAAGAATATGATATTACGGGTATGCCTATATAGGATATAGATATACGTTTATTCAGATAAAGCTATGTAAATAAGTTTAGAGATTGAAGGATATAATCACCACATTCTGATCATGCGAGTATCATTCATGAAACCCTTAATACATTATAATGCATTATCTAGAAAAATCGGTTACATAGGTACTAAAAGGCATGAGAAGCCAAAAGCAAGAAGGACTCCATTCAGTTCGAAGGAAAACTGTATTAGCAATGTGCACCGCTGCAGACATACGAATTCAGAAATACGTTGACTGAAAGGAATGTTAAAATTTACATTTTTCACATTTTCAAGGTTTAGCATATTCCAAAAGAATTCTAAATAGGTTTTTATAAGACTCGAATAAGTCTATATATTGATAAAAAGCTCCGAAAATGTTTTGTTTTATGCAAGAGTAATTTCATTCTGAAGAGATTACAGAAGAATAAAGAAGATTTGAAAGAATCTGGGTGATAGCACTTGAATTGTATATATTTCGTCTCGTGTTCTAGATTATGTCAAATTCCAAGAATAACTCGTCTAGTATACGTCGAAAGCTGGCCTTAGTTATTGGCAATCAAAGTTATGTAAAGAAACCGTTGAGACATTCCGAAAATGATGCTGATGATTTGCATGATGTTTTAACTAAGATTGACTTTAAGGTTGACAGGGAACTAAATTGTAAATACGATAAAATGAAAGATGCAATCAAAACATTCTCCGAAAAAATCACGACCAACGACTTAGTGTTGTTTTATTTTGCCGGTCATGGCTTTCAATATGAACGGCAAAATTATTTGATGCCTCTCGATGCCATACAAGATTCAGATGAAATTATAGTTGACAAATCTAAATTGATACAAGTAGACGATATTTTCAAGAAGCTATCAGCACAAACGGCCTACGTCACTATTTTTCTTCTTGACTGCTGTCGAGAAAACTTAGCTGATTATAAAATTATTAATTTGCAAGATGTTGAAACAAGCGATACATCGACCAAGAAAACCAAAAAATGTACTATAACTGGTTCTAGAGGATTATTTAAAATAAGAGCAGCTGGTGGTTCAATTATTCAGTTTGCTTGTGCTCCTGGTGAGTTAACAGCAGATGGTTATGATCAAGGACGAAATGGATTATATACAAAATACTTATTGCAACACATCGCTCAGCCAAAAACAGAGATAAACTTGATATTTCGAAGAATCACTCGAGATATTTATAAAGAAAGCAAAGCAAATCAAAAACCATATACAAGTAGCGATATTGTGACTGACGAACCAATATATTTAAGCGCTGGCGATTCTGAAGATGGTAAGAACGTGTCTAAATAAGTTTCTTAGATGTGCAAGCTTTTTTCCATTATATCAAACTTAAAATCCCACTACAACACAAATATACGTGTTCTGTCGTTGTTTTTAAATAAGAATGGTGTTACTAATTTGAGACCAGTGCAGTACTTTATATTAGATAATAATCAAAAACTAAAGAGCAATACCTTTTGAAACTTGAAGAACATATATTTTCGTTCTAAAGGAATCTCTCAATCTGAATAATTGTGCACAATCATGAACTCAACAGACTTTTCGAGCCTGTTTTTCATACTTCACATTGTGACTTTGGTCAAAATACGAAAACCGTTGAGGATGTGATTGGGAAATAAAAATGGTACTTCCTAAATTGTAAACTAGAAAACTAATTTTGACGGTTTCTCGACAATTAGACATAACAATACCAGTGAAAAAGGAAATTCTAGATTTAAGGTAATACTGAATGATACATGAACATTTTCTAATCAGCATCTGATGATACTGGGTTATTTTTGTGGAAAGAACCGCGTAACTTTGACATAGTCGTATTTCTGCTTGAAAATCTTCAAACAGATGAAATACCCTTTACATGTAAGAAACTTGAAATATTTGTTTTTATTTAGCGACACCATCTGAAGCGATTAGACGAAAATATCAACAATATTATGTAGAATGTTTCATCAATACATGTCAAAAGTTTCCTATTGAAGAATGCTATATTAATTTATCGATAACAAGAACTGAGGAACAAGACAAAAACGAAAGGAGTCTGCATAGTGCTAATTCCGATGATGTCTTCATATATATATATGAAGAGATTTATCGAAATTCGACAGCAATAGATATCAAGGATATTTTTGATAAATGCAAAGATCAACGAAAACAAGTACTTATAACAGGACGAGCGGGGATTGGAAAATCAATATTTTGTCGATATGCTGCGTATCAATGGGCAGAAGGTCAACTTTGGCCACATTACGAACTGGTTGTATTAATTAAATTAAATTCTTTAACACATTTGAAATATAGCCTAGTTGATCTTATGGAAAAACAGTATTTCCCGTGCGAAAATTTATCCGACAGTTACAAGCAGTATTTCACGTCGCTATGTGGTGAAGGTAAAGTTTTATGGTTATTAGATGGTTACGATGAACTTCCGTTAAACATTCTACATCAACCCGATAGTGTATTAAATACTATATATCAAACACAACATCATATTTTGACCTCTCGTCCATATGCCATTTCATTGTCATATAAAACTCAGGTGGAAATCATAGGATTTACTGATGCCAATATCGCCATGTACCTGAATCAGTCCTTCGAGCAACCAAATGAAAATGAATCCGAAAGTCAGAACCTGCTGACTTACTTGAAATTGAACACTAAAATTTGGGGTATCGCACATATCCCACTGCATCTAGAACTAATATGTTGCCTTTGGAGAGATAACAAAATATCAATGGTAGAAGACGCACTCGAAACACAATCACTTGAAGTTACAATGCTTTATGATAAGATGGTTCAATGGTTATGCCAACAATATTTAACGGAACAAAAGCATACGACAGTCTGTAATTTGACTAGAACGTCATTTCGAGAAAAGTGCAAAAAAGAACTAGAATTCTTCGAGAATGTAGCTTTTCATGCTATGAAAGATTTTAGTGCGATTATAGATCCAAAAGTATTTGATGAAGTAGAAAAAACAATTGGATGGTTCATAAGTGATTATCCACAATTATTCAATATAGGTATTTTAAAATCATTCAACGACAAACGAATTGGTAGTCACGTCGACGTTAAAAAACCACATTATTTTGTTCACCTTAGTTTTCAAGAATTCTTTGCTGCCAGCTACATCGTTACTGGTCTTCGTAGTGGTAGACCAGAGAACTCAATAAATTTCATCAAGGCTAACAAGTACGATCAACGCTTTAGATTATTATTAAGTTTCGTATCTGGTCTCCTAACCATATACAATGAGGAACAGCCAATTCAATATTTTTGGGATGCTATATTAAATGAGCCATTGGACTTAGTTGGGTTAAGACATTTCGATCTAATCATTTCGTGTCTTGAGGAGACCCGTGGCAGTCCTAGTATACACAGACGCAAGGAAATGATTGATTACATAGTGATGTGGATTAAAATCGGCGTCGACATGAAAGAGAACAAGATTCTGGATTACATCAAGCAAGCCTTGCAACGCTCATATATATTGGCTAATGAGATCAGCATACAAAAAACACTTATTCAGTTGATGCAACGTGAAGTTCCTAAGACCAAAATACTCACCTTACAATTAATTTCGAAAATGCCATTCTCGAATTTCCCAGAAAAGTTAGTTGATTTGATGATCAGAGATTTAAATAATGAAAACTATCATCTGACTGATGCGATCAAACGAGCACTTTCTGAAATCCTTGAACACATGCCACACGATGTTGTCCTACAGCGACTTCTTCACGTATTTATAATTCAGGAAAATACAAAACTTACAGAAAGAGTGTATCAAATTTTATACCGTATTGGTAACCGTTCTACCATTGATGCGACGATTCAGGTGCTGCTATTAGCTACTAAACAAGAGAGCATAAACCTACGGCAAACTGCATGTAAACTTCTGGGACACTTTGATGCAAAAACAGCAACTGAAGATGTAATTAAAGGACTTTTAACCGCACTTACCGATGTGGAACCGCCTGTCAGAGAAGTTGCATGTAAGGTCTTGGCACGATTCGACAAACAAGAACCAACTGAGGAGGTGGTCAAAGGACTTTTAACCGCACTTACCGATATCGAACCGTCTGTCCGAGAAGCTGCATGTAAAGTCTTGGCACAACTTGGTGAGAAAGCAGCAACTGAGGACGTGATCCAAGGGCTCTTAACTACATTAAGAGATGTGGAAACATCAGTCAAAAAAGGGGCATGTTACGCTCTGGCAAGTTTTGGTGAAAAAGCAGCAACTAAAGATGTGATCAGTGGGCTTTTAACAACACTTCGCGATGTGGAACCATGGGTTAGAGCAAAAGCATGTGAAACGATCGCACGATTTGGTGAAAAAGCTGCAACTAAAGAGGTGATCGAAGGACTCTCCACTGCGCTTCGGGACCAGAACTATGCTGTCAGAGAAGACGTATGCAAAGCTCTAGGAAGCCTTGGCGAAAAGGCAGCAACTAAAGAGGTGATCAAAGGACTTTTAACTGCACTTAGCGATGTGGAAAGCTCTGTCAAAGTAAGTGCATGTAACGCTCTGATACGATTTGGTGAAAAAGCTGCAACTGAAGAGGTGATCAAAGCAGTTTCCACTGCACTTCGCGACAAGAACTATGATGTCAGAGAAGTCGTATGTAAAGTTCTGGAAACCTTTGGTGAAAAGGCAGTAACTAAAGGCGTAATCAAAGGAGTTTTAAGTGCTCTTAATGACCAGAACTGCGGTGTCAAAAAAAGTGCATGCAAAGTCTTGGCACAATTCGGCGAACAAGTAGCAACCGAAGAGGTGATTGAAGGACTTTCCACTGCACTTCGGGACCAGAACTATGCTGTCAGAGAAGACGTATGCAAAGCTCTAGGAAGCCTTGGCGAAAAGGCAGCAACTAAAGAGGTGATCAAAGGACTTTTAACTGCACTTAGCGATGTGGAAAGCTCTGTCAAAGTAAGTGCATGTAACGCTCTGATACGATTTGGTGAAAAAGCTGCAACTGAAGAGGTGATC